AACCAATCCTAACATGTTATAACTAATAGATGAACAATATTTTATGTTATGTTTTATGTGATGATAAGACACAGACAACTTTCATGAAGTTAAATTAAATTTGGATTCTTTTATCTTGTTAATGTCGCCATGAAATAAAGTTTAACACTATGAGAAGATTGAAATTGTTATTGAAAGATTGAAAATAAACTGTTTAGTTTTAATGAGTTTAGATTCTCAATCAATCAATGTTGCTCTTAATAAGAAATGATCACAGTTTTAGAATCAGAGGTTTTCTAATGTGAAGTTTGAGGATCAGAGGTTTGACTGTGATGAGGTATTTAAAGTCTCTGTGTTAATCAGTCAGATTAAAGTGATGCTGACAGACACAGACACTGAGAACCTCAGAGAACTGACGACCAGCTGCTGCACGTTACTCCAGGCTGTAAACAGTTTAATTTATTCACGTGTTCTGTCATTGTCCAACGAAGAACCCCAAGAGATGGAATGTGGAGGTTCTCTGGTTCTCTGCAGAAAGGTTCTTTAAGGTCTCTGAGAATAAAAATGTTCAGAAGTTCAGATTCAAGGGTTAATTGAGGAGGTTCTAACGAGAACGTTTTAATGCCCCTTGGTTTTTTAACTTGTGTATCATTAGTTGTTCAGTTGAGTTGAAGCTTGACACATTTAAAAGTGTTAACATCAGACATTTTGGTGTTGTCATTTGCTGCTGCCATTATCTCTTTGAAAATCAGTTTGACAGTGAAGCAAAATGAATCCTGGGATATGTTGAGCTGAGGAGGATCCAGCTGTGGGGATGGAAGGTTGTGTTTGAGGGAACAGTCGGGCCACATGACACCACCTGTCTTCAAATGACTACATCATGATAAAAAAGGTTCATGAGCAGCTTTCATGTTTTTCGTGCTGTTTGTGTTTCAGGATGATGCTGAACGATCGGTGGACCATCATGAACAACAGCAGTTCAGAGCTCGACAGCAAGCGGCCAAACAAACACAAGGTGAGCCGCAACAGGTGCTGTGTTAGCTGTTAGCCTGCTAGCCAACGTCCACTCTGATGTCAGGAGCTGTGTGATTGGATAATTGAGGTTTGATAATACAGCATTAGTCACTATTGGATTTACCCCTCACATGGATGGTTAAACCCGAGGTGTTATGGTTATGGTACATAATCAATGTTTTAATAATCTGGACTATAACCAAACTTTCTACCTAGGTCATGAGTTTTCTCCAAAACCCAGGAAGTAATGAGCTCATCAGCAGCGAGTGTCTTCACAAAGACATTCCTCTAAAAGGACAAATGTCCAAACAGAAGTTACAAAATTAGAAAGTGCTGCATCAAGCTGCAGTTTAAGAGATCAAAGGAATCTCGGTATTCTGGGTCTGGATCAAACTGAACCTGGTTCTGTTGGTTCAAAGTGAAAACACCTTGTTGAGGTTTAGACTTTTGGACCAATCACAGGAAGTAGAGACACATTAAACAATAGAAGAAGAAAAAGAAGAGGAAGCAGCTGCCGTCGATAAAATGTTTGAACCATGAGGACGTTCATTTGGTGCATTTGAACTAGTGTGGAGTACTGCAGTACTGTGGAGTACTGCGCCTGAAGGTGCTGATGCTGCTAGTAATACCATCATGATGTTACCATGGCAACCAGATGAAGCGCTTCATTCATTTTCTCCATTCAAACAGAAAGACTACTACCCCCCCCCAACTACAAACCAATCAACCAATCAGTGTCCAGGATAGGTAGATGACGCCCAACAAAAAACAAGCATGATTTTTTTAAACCTCTGTGATGTTGACTAATAGCAGCATGGCTGACAGCGCTCTTTGGAATGATGCTGTCAGCATCACAAATGTAAAACAGAGCAAAGTTTAATCAGGCTTCTGCAACAGCACCCCCTATAATTTTGTTGCCTCCTAAAGGGATTTTCG